CTCTCTGGTGAGAGCACGCACCCTGTGGCAAAAGCCTTAAAAAAAAAGAGAGAAAAAACACTGAAAGCAAATTCAAACACGTGACCCTGAGTGTCTCAAACCACAGGCAGGAGGGGTCTTGGTGACTTGGAAACACTGTCCCTGGACTCTGCCCCCCTCCAGGGACATGCACTGCGGATGGCCTTCCAGTGTCTTGGGGGTGCTGGCGGTCACTTCCAGCCTGTGGGCTACAGCAGAAAGCAGGGGCCAGAGCTGTAGAAAACACACACTCGGAAGATCAGTAGCTAAGGGGCCGGCCACCCGCCCGGGCCAGAATTCGAGCGAGAAGCACCGCTGTGAACCATGAGGTCTTTTTTTTTTTTTATTTTTGGAGAGGTTTTTGCTATAGAGCACGTGCACTCTCCAGACAGACAGAGAGAGACAGAGGGACAGAAAGCGAGAAATCACTCCCAGGGGGGATGGCCACACCGCAATCCCTTCTCCTCCATTCTCCTCTTGGGATCTTGGGCACGCACACACATGCACCCAGCGTGAGTTTAAGCTACCGGGTCTGGGACTTGAACCGCAGTCAACTACATGGGAGTCCAGCGACATAGCTATATATGCTAACTGCTAGTCCCAACCATGAGGTCTTTTGTCTGAAGGGAGGAAAAAAAAACGGACCAGCAGCTGGCATGATGGTTACTGGACTCCTGCGTAGTCAACCATGGTTTGAGTCCTAGACCCAGGGGCTTAAACTCCCGGCAAGCGCATGTGCATGCATGTTCAAGATCCTGAGAGGAGAAGGGACTGCGGGGTGATTTCTCACTTTCTGTCTCTCCGTCTCCCTGGAGAGCGCACCTGCCCTATAGCAAAAATCTCTCTTAAAAAAAAAAAGAAGAAAATGAATGCCCTAGCACCATCAGTTGAAAAAGCTAAGACAGGGACCAGCAGTTGGCGTAATGGCTATGTCACTGGACTCCCACGTAGTCAACCAAGGTTCGCGTCCCGGACCCGGTGGCTTAAACTCACACCGGGCCTGTGTGCATGCATGCCCAAGATCCCGAGAGGAGAATGGAGGAGAGGAATGCTTGACTAGGTATGAAAGCTACCTGCTAGCAAATTCACAATAACTCTATATTTTATTTCAGGTAAAACTAAAATGCTCACAAACAAAATCCAGTGTTAGTATAAAAGTTTTTAATTACAGATATTAAAATGTGACTTGATGGGGCCAGCAGATGGCATGAAGGTTAAGGCACTGGATCTAACATGGCCAACTTCGTGGTTTGAGTCCCAGACCTGACGGCTTGAAAATCATGCCAGGTGCGTGTGCGTGCATGCCCAAAATCGCGAGAGGAGACTAGAGAAGGGATTGCAGCGTGGCCTATCGCCCTGGGAAGGAGGGTGCTTTCTCTCTCTCCATCAAGTACAGACATCCTATAGTAAGTTAAAATAAAAAAGTGTCCCCCTCCCCGCAAAGTTGCCTACTCCAGCCTGAGAAGGTGGCTCCCTCCAAGCCTGGGAGAGGGGATGAAAGTGAGCCAGGAGCTGGGCTTATGACTGGAAGGGTTGGCCAGAGGCCTCGGGACCTGACTTGAAGAGATACACTCTAGGGACCAGCAGTTGGCGTAATGGCTATGTTGCTGGACTCCCATGTAGCCGGCTGCGGTTCGAGTCTTGGACCCGGTGGCTTAAACTCACGCTGGGTGTGTGTGTGTGCGTGCCCAAGATCCCGAGAGAAGGGATTGCAGCGTGGTCATCCCCCCTGGGGGGTGATTTCTCGCTTTCTGTCTCTCTTTCTGGTGAGCGCATACCCCCTATAGAAAAAAAAAAAAGAAGAAAAAAGAAAAAAAGAAACCTCTCTGAGAATCACTCGGAAGGATTTGGTGCGGGTGCCCCTTGGAAGGTGCTGGGACCTACTCAACCTTTAGGAACCCATCATGAGATGAAGGCTGTACCTGTCCTCCTGTCCCCCAGACACCTGGAGACTTTCAGCAGCTCTTTATAGACCACCTGCAGAATTTGGGTGAAAAGCCAGAGACAGAGCAGAGTGGAGCGTGGTTTTAAACAACCTCTGTCATTCTGTTTCTTTCCTTTGAGAGTTTTTTTGCTGTAGGGTACATGTGCTTGGCAGTGACAGAAAGTGAGAAATCACCCCCTAGGAGGGATGGCCACATGTCAATCCCTTCTCCACTCCCCTCTCAGGATTTGGGGCACACTTGTATGCACACGTGCCTGGCATGAGTTTCAAGCCGCTGGATCCGGGACTCCAACTGCGGTGGACTACACGGGAGTCCAGCAACGTAACCATTACGCCACCTGCTGGTCACCACATCCATTATTTTTTGACCTCCTCTTCTAGAGATGGAGCCTCAGTGCTCACCCCTTGGGTATGGCCGGTCTCAGTGGCTCTACCCAAATAAGGCAGCCGTGTAGCTCCAGGGACGTAAAAGCCACCGCGATAAGGCAACGCTTGGGCTGCCGAGGCCACATAGGAAGGCCGGTGTGTGCAACCCAGGCCGGGTCTCTTTGTACATGCTAGGTACATGCTAGGTGTGCATGCGTGTGCTTGCGATCCAGGCTGCTGAGATGAGGTAGATCATGGTATGAAGACCCTTTGGGGGTGCCTTCCTCTCTCACGGAAGAAAGAAAGAATGAAAAATAAATTTTTTACAAAAGCATTGTGGCCCATGGGACCAGCAGTTAGCGTAATGGCTATGTCGCTGGACTCCCACGTAGTCGATCGCGGTTAGCGTCCCGGACTCGGTGGCTTAAAACTCACGCCAGGTGCGTGTGCGCCCAAGATGCAGAGAGGAGAATGGAGGAGAAGGGATTGCAGCATGGCCATCTCCTCTGGGGG